ATAGAGATTTCTGGTTAATGCAACAAGATAGAAGATTCTGTATAGCTTTTTTTTTTTTTTTTTGCTTGTCAATTTTAGTCTTTAATTTTTACGAAATTTGAAAATTAAAGAATAGTTAACACCCCTTTCTATAGCATGCGATTATGATAAGCAATACATAAAAACCATTTGGAATATAAACTAAACTGATTTTTTAAAAGACAATCTGCAAAATACCCATTTTTAAGAAGTTATTTTAAAAGTTAACTATTACAATGTGTGCTTATCATTTGGACATTTTTTTGCTTAGCAGGTTTTTGCCTACTATTTACTATGCTGTTCCAGAGAAATGGAACAAGTTTTATTAGGTTCACAATAAAAGTTTAGTCTGAATTCAGTCCTTTCCCTTTTTAAAATTAATGGCTTCCCAGATGGCTCAATGGTAAAAAACGCACCTGCTAATGCAGGAAATGCAAGAACCGTGAGTTAGATCCCTGGGTCGGGAAGATCCCTTGGGTAGGAAATGGCAACCTGCTCCAGTATTCTTGCCTGGACAATTCCATGGACGGGGGAGTCTGGTGAGGTACAGTCCATGGGGTCGCGAAGAGCCAGACACGACCGGGCACGCGCACATCGCTGCTTTACAGCGCTGTGTCGAGTTTCTGCTGTCCGCAAAGCTGTTTCTATTAAGGCGCTCTGTTCGCAGTGGGGCGCAGCCAGTTAACTGCGCTGTGATACAGGACAGCCGAGCACGGGGCCGGCCAGGAGCCTCCGCGGGCTCCCAGGTGGGCCAGAGCCCCGCACGCAGGCCACTGCCGAGCGTGTGAGCACGTGTGGCCTCGTGTCCCTCCACACTCCGCACGGCCCACCTTCTACACTAAGATTCAGTATGCTGCTTCGTGTTGTATATTTTGGGGAAAGTGAAAGTCGCTTAGTCGTGTCAGACTCTTTGTGGCCCCACGGACTGCAGCCCGCCAGGCTCCTCTGTCCATGGGACTCTCCAGGCAAGAACACTGGAGTGGGTTGCCATGCCCGCCTCCAGGGGATCTTCCAGACCCAGGGATCGAACCCGGGTCTCCTGCATTACAGGCGGATTCTTGACTGTCTGAGCCACCAGGAATTTGAGACGTTTTGGGGAAAGCTTTGGGTATAAATCAGTTTAAACTTGTAGGAGAGATTTTTCTATCATGCAGAGTAGGTATTTTTTGTAGACTGAAGGTTAATCAATTTTTTAATACTTCCGAGAAAGAAAAGTATTTGTGTATAGACAGGAAATATATATATATATATATATGTACAACAATAAACATGGAACTCGACTCTCTGCACCCCCTCCCAAGAAAAGGTTGTGATAGATTCCGGTGGGCAGCCAAGGGCTTCAGCCATACATGTACATGTATCCATTCTCCCCCAGGCTGCCACACTGAATCAGCTATATGTTTTCATATATCCCCTCTTTTTTGGATTTTCTTCCCATGAAGGTCACCATAGAGCATTTGTATATAGTTCCACACGACTGAGCGACTGAACTGAAACTGAACTGAACTGAAGATACATGAAAAATCACTGCACCTAAGTGCCATATAACAAAGAACTGAAAAATCCATGCCCTTCTTTAAATGCTAATTCAGATCATTGTGTTCCACTGACTTAAACGCTTTCTGGTCTCAACATTAGATTTAATATAAAGTCCCAGGACATGATAGTCCTTTTAATTTTCCCTGCAGAGCAATGGCTGATGACAGTCACCTGTCAGCTTTACAGTCCCTCCAAGCTATTGCCTTGTCATTTAAGTGCCTTTGGATCGTAGGATGAGACGCCCAAAGCTACCAAGTGAATGTGAACCTTCTCACTCCAGTCACCATTATCTGTTTTCTCCAGGATTCACAAAGCAAAGGTTTACTTGTAAATTGGCAGCAACACTCTTCACATTTCCCCATGAAATTTCACTTGCACTCACGTACTTTTAAACTCTCAAGCCAGAGGAGTTGGCTTGACATGATGATGACTTGAACTAAGCTTTCAAGTCTCTGTTAGCCAGTTATTGACAAGCTTACCCCTTTCCCTCTGTTTTTCACGTATGAAGTTGCTTCTCTCAAAGGATATCCCATTTCCACCCAGAGACTGGAAGAGTATCCGTCACCAACTCCAGTGAAATAGCTTCCACCATCACACAGAAACACACACATGAGCACATTACGTGTCACATACTTGTACACACATAAATTCTTTCAACTGTGGAGGTAAATCAAGCAGGCTACGTCAGATGCATAGGACAAGAATGTCAAACTGACTCACATGTATTCTTGACATTCTCTTTGAAAATTTATTCCAGCCATCTCATGTACCTGATGGTCCATGATGTTTACCCAGCAGACTTGTAATTAGTTCTGCTCATTTCATATCCTCTAATAAATCTATGATCTGAAAGAAGAAATCTGATTTTACCATGACTTCCGACAGATCACCACATCCTAACAAAACTCCGGCCGCCGCGTGTGCCAGCTCACTAGTTATGATAGTTCGCACGGCCGCAGCCTTGGACTAACCAGCGCCCGTCACAGCCCAGCAGCGAGAGCCTGCATGTGTGGGGAACCTCCGCAGCTGCAGCCGAGGCCTCTGAGGCACGACGCTTCCTAAACAAGAGGCCGACTGCCCCGGGCGGTGCGAAGCTGGCTATTCGTCAATGTCCTCTGTGTTCCTTCCACTTGGTGGGGCAACCTCAAAGACTGAGCTTCTCAGGGACACTCTGGAACGTGGAAGGGTCGCTGGCAGCAAGCATGGCAGCCTCTCCTCCTAGCATCTTCTCTAAAATGCATGCAGCAGCTCAGCCAGGGTTTTCCGCTTTGCGGGCAGAATCACCAACTGTGTGTGTCATTTCAGACACACACAACATTTAAAAAGATGAAAACACTTAAACTCTCCACACTACGCTTTCACTCACTTTCCAAGTACATCATGGTCTTCCTTCAGGAGAAATCAATTACAGTGCCTCAACAGCAGTAAGCTACATCAACAGAAATTCAAAATAAAAAGTGTCAGGCATACCAACATCCCCAAACTCAGACTTACATGAATCTCGAGACTAAGACTTCCTAGCAGTAGAATTTTCACTAATAAATTATTTTACAAGATACCATAAGGCCAAGAATAATCAATGATTTGATTCAATAGTTCAAGAAGCAAATATTCTGAAATATATTGGATTTATAGATGATAATTTAGATTATATTATTTTTCCAGAAGTAGCATCGATTCATTAATTCTTATAATTGTTTTTAATAATGCATGGAAATTATTTACTATACACAAAATATATTTGAGGATTAGTAAATCTGGTCTATATTTTTCAAGTTCTCCTGCAGAGAGTACACACATTCAAAAGGCAATGGAACAGAACAGACAGAATCATGTTTTTCTTCTTTAATCCAGAAGGAAAGCTGGAAATCACCTAGGCCTGTTCTCCATTGTACAGCCAAGGAAATGGAACTCACAGGTGACTTCCCCAAGATCACCTGGCAAGTGACAGGGATCCAGAGTGCCAATCTAGGGCTTTCATGACCATTTTCAAAAGAAAAAGTCAACCTTGAAAATAATGAGTGACTTGATTTTACAACATTCATCAGAGAAATCGCTTTTTAATATCAGTTTTAGCCAAAGTAATATATTAATACAAAGAAGGAAAAAAGTTCCTTTGAGGGTCCATTGGAAAGAGCCAGCAGTGGGCTCTCAAGCTTGCCAAACTAAAGGCCTGATCCTCCCTCTTCAGTCCGAGCAGTTATAGGCAATGTGAGCAGGAGTTACACTTGTCTGGAGCAACCGTTCGTTACCAACAAAAACAGGATCCTCCAGCCCAGGGATCCACTTTCCTCCCCTTCCCCAACAGAAGACAGCTCACTTTGTCCACTGCTTCCCTAAGAGTGCAATCTTTGTGATCTATTTTCTCACTTTTCACCCCAAGCACCCTCCACTTGGATTCACTAAACCATTTCTGATATAATTCTTTCGCCCTTACTCAAAAGTCACTTGCTTGAAATAAGGAAGGTTCAGGATTCCATCAGTGCGTGGATCATAACTTGGCTAAGAAATGCTCGTGCTGGCTAAAAAGAGACAGGTGACAGTCTTTTGTGAGTCAGGTCAAGAAATCCAGTGCAGAGAAAGACAAAATGCACAGGAAGGCCAACAAACATCCTGAGATGTCAGGAAAAGTCAAGAAAAGATTGCCCCCTAGAGTACCCGTTACTTAATATGTAATTTTTCTTTATAAAACCATCAGCAGCTCCAATTTCCAGGAAATTAACCAACTCATTACTTAAGACCTGGTCAGTTAAGCCTCCTGGATCTGCACAAGGAGCTCCTTTATAAGAATTCCCATACTGCTTATGGCACAGTGCATATTGTAAAAGGAAACTCTTTCACTTCAGCTCTGTTAGCTAAGTCATGACACACACTGAAAACTTACCTCTCCTCGGGCCAAAAGGAAAATCAGGGAGAACTCAATCCCATAAGCTCTTCTAAGCACCTCCTCTCATATTTTTCCTGTTTTAGGTTAAAACTTAACCTCATAGTCCTGAACTTTCATAAAAACAGTTCCCTGTCTTTTTTTTTTTTTCCTTCCATCCCTCTTTTTCTCAAGGTCAGAACTTTCTGGACACATATACTAGATCTCCTATCATATGACAACAAATTACACTCACAATATCTTTACTATCAAGTCAGCACCTGTTCTCACCACTTCTTTTCCAGGCTTGTCCGTTCACAAGAGCTATAATCTTATCTTAGCATTTATGAATTCAGAGGACAGAGATTTAAACAGTCAGTGAAGCAGCAGGAAGGGTTCATAAAACGTTCTCTTACTAAACCACGTTCCCCCATCTGAACTGGACAGAGAGCTGATTTTATTCCAGAGATGGCATGAGTTAGTTACACTGCAAGATTAAAGGTGCATTTTTTAACAAGTGGACATTGATCACTTTTAATATTTTAAAAGCATTGAAAATGGGCACAGCTGCTACACATACCTGTAGGAGGACCTTCATCCCATCCTTCTGCCCTCTTAATTCGATTTGCTGTGAATCCTAAGCAGATATTGACACCAACAGCAAAAGTGAACAAAGATATTACCTAAGAGAAGAAAGAGGTCAAATTGTCAGTGCAGCCAGACAAGCCTAAATCAGATTCCACAAAGGCAGTGCAAATGACTTCAACATCCCCATCCAACCCTGCAGCTTCCCAAATGCACCCTGCAGCGCTGTCTTCATTTTAAAAGCAAAAAGAAAACTCAAAATCAGAAAGCACCTCTGAAGGTCAAGGCTTTCCCCTGTCATGCTCGCCTTCTCCTACCTGAGAGAGCTGGCATGAGCTTCTGGCCATGGCAGGGGGCTCTTGGCAAGCCTGTGGCAGTGCGTTCTGTTTGCCCACACTGAATGCGCTGCTTTTTGGGGCTCTGAGTCCAGTCTATTAACTACAAGTAATCCCACCTGGGAGGTTGACAGGCTCCTCTGATTTGTCCAAAGCTCGATTTCATCACAGTTTGTTCGCAAATCGCAGCCCGGAGCCTAAGAAGCTTGAAACATCACTCCCGGTCTCTCCACCCCCGCCCCGATCGGTCCCTCCCCTGACACACAGATACTTTCATGTGGTTTCTTCTGGTAACATAAGGGTTTCTTATGTTGCTGCAGCCAATAACCCTGCATGTTCATTTTCCTTCCCTCCTGAAAACATGGTTTTTTAAAAAAAGAAACCAAATGCATTTTATCCGATAAAAATGAAACAGAGCCACAAAAGGGTTTCTACCAGCTTTAAGCTTTTAAGGTTTAACAATGTGGTTATTCAACGCAGTCAACCTCACGACTTGATGTTTTTAAAAAAACAAGGAAAGTTTTATAATTTCTAAACCTACTAACCCTCTGTCTTGCCCGTTTCTTTATTTTTCTGGCAGTATAAATGACCCTGTCCCGTCTGCCACATTCTCAGCGACTCCCGGCTCCTCAAACATTTCTCACCATGAAACCTCCCACGATTGCAGCAAAACACAAGAGATAGCATTCTGCTTCCCCGTGTTGTCCTTAGAGTTCAGAGAAGTAACATTTATCAAAATCCTGGGAATGCCCATGAAGCCACACAGAGTTCTCCTGCCTTGTGAGGAGGAGTAAAATGACTTCAGGTCTGCCTGCCTCTTCCTCCTGAAGAAACCATCAGCTTTGGGTATAGGTTTTTTGCTTTGTTTCAGAGGGACTGGGGAGCAGCAAGGGTGGGATGGGGGGAGGCTTTACTCATGACTGAAGTGAGGAAGGACATCTCGGTGGCAGCAAGAATTCAGGTCTACAGAACTGTTTCCTTAGGTTTTTCCCCAGATAAATTATCATCTAGCTACCAAACACTGTGCCTTTGATGCTATTGTGAGGCTTAAAGTCTTTTTACTGAGCTAGCTAGCCACCAGGAGACTTCTCAAAGAAATCAAGCCCACAAAAGCTGAAAGTTCTTTAAATACTGTACACTTGCGGGATTCAAACGGGGAGGAAAGCTTATCTCTGGCTTTTCTCTGGCCAGACCCGGGGAGCACGGTGCTTGCTCAGAGCATATGTGTGTATGTAAACAAACAGGGCGTGTTCTATGCAACGAGCAACGGAGGAAGCAGGGGCTCTGCTCAAATAAAACCCCATAGCCCAAAAGCCAGAGCTTGTTTATGGTGGGCTGCACAGTAGGTCTGGGTTTCATTAGATATTCCAGAATTTAGTAACAGCTAATTGAGAAGAAGAAAACACAGTGCCAAACTTTCAGCTGCCTCTCTCAAATCCTTTTCCTTTTGCACTCTTACAGAGATGGCAGGCTGATAGATCTTTCTATAGAAGTCTCTTGCTTCAGTCTGCATGCCATACTGAAATGATTTGGGGTCGGGTGTTTAGCAAGGCTTATGAAAGATGTTAACCCCACGTAAGATTTTTCTACTCTTTATGTTCAGTTTCAAGATGCAGGCTTTTACAGAGGAAGCTATCAAGGGAATAGCTTCCCTTTCAAAAGGGAAGTATCAAGGCAATCCTGTGATTGCATTGTTCGCCACAGTGGTCCAAACGTTCAACCTCCTCACCAGCCTCGCCAGCCCTCACCGGAGTTCAACAGCTTCAGAATCTGTCTGATATTTGATGGTAGAAACCCAGCTTGAGGACAATGAAAGCTCCCCTTGAAGAATAATTAGACTCAGAAGCTGAACATTATCCATTCACTTTTTGGACAGGCAGAGTAGCTGTGCGGGGGGAGAAAGTCTTACGTGTAACAGCCAGAGAAATGAAATGTGTGTGCTAGTCGCTTAGTCGGGTCCACCTCTTTGAGACTGCATGGACTGTAACCCACCAGGCTCCTCTGTCCTTGGAATTCTCCAGGCAAGAATACTGGAGTGGGTAGCCAGTCCTTTCTCCAGGGGGTCTTCCCAACCCAGGGATCGAACCTGGGTCTTCCACATTGCAGGCAGATTCCTTACTGACTGAGCCACCAGGAAGCCCAGCTTGATCCATAATTGACTTCTGTTCAGCACTTGTTACCATCTAAGAGGACTGAACTCAACCTCTATTTCTGATAACCATTCGGCCAAAGCACTTTATCTCCTATGGTCATTGTGCACAGAACACATTCACACACACACACCACCTGACCATTGTCACACAGAATTTCACTAAAAGACATCATTACAAACTGCCTGTCAGGGGGATGACCCAAGTCCCTTCCTCGGGCATCTAATCAACCATAAAATAAAATTAGCCCTCATTATCTAAAATTGAGAAAACTGAAAAACCTGATAATGCATACTGCATGTCTAGAAATTCAACTAAGATGACTGAAATAGAGTCCGAAACCTTTTATAACAGAACTAAGTCAAGAAAGTTCACCTGTGCTGGTATTGAAGATTTGGGCATAAGGTCACTCGTGGTTGGGTCAGTAAATAAGAAAGTGTACGAGAAAGACTAAAATTAACTTTCGGCTTGGTTTATTAATCCAGCCATACTTCAGAGAACACTGCCCCCTGGCAGAGGAAAACCCAAACAGATCTTAACAACAGTCTCAGGCCTGAAAAATCATTCTGTGATTCTCAAGCTTTACTGGGCATAAGAATGACCCTGGAAACTTGTTTAAAATATTGATACTTATGGTCTAAACCCCAAGATTCCGAACCATGAGCTCCAGGAGATGAGGAGAAGAAAGGGAAAGTTTAGAGCCAGGCAAGATCTAAGACAATAGGCTCCTCTGAGGCAATGGAAGGGCCACGTTCTGACACCAACGATGTAAGAAAAGAGCATTAGAATAAGTTACTCTGATCAATTAACCGACGTCCCGAATATTGACTTGCCTGGCCTAAATAACAATGTAATCTTAATATATCACTAATACCATCCACTACTAGTTGGACGTTAAAGTTTACATCCCTTAATGGCAAACCATGCTGGTTCTTCCCCACTTCTTCCAGCTCCAAACTGTAAGCAGTGAAACAGTCTTCTATTTACTTTGCTGGTGGTACGACGCAGCCAGGGTGTGCACCGCTTAATTGTAATACAGTAGTTGCATTTACACAAATGCACAGCCCATCTTTTCATGGCATGCTTCTGTGAGTCCTTGTTTCCAAGCCCTGATTATGGTAAAAGGGTTTGAGGTCAACAGTGAGATTTGAAAAAATCTGTAATTGAGGGTTGTCATTCTTGCCTCCTACCGTAATTAGGAAGCATTCATGAATGGATTCAAACTTTATCAATATCCAGCTTCTCACTGTGCAGAATTAACTACAATTACGGTGCCTTGACGTGACTCTATTCCCACAGTACTTCTAAGACTACCAGACAGTCACTGACCACCTGATTTTCGGGGCTAACACTTAAGCAGTCACTGCAGCACAAACACCAGGAAATTAAGAAAACAGAACCCACGTGCATTCTTCCTTTGAGTTAAGTCTTATTTTTCAATTCTGCTGTGGTTGAGAACTATTAGAAAATTCAGAATAAACACCGGACAAGAGGCTCTGCAGAAGGGATTTGCTGGTCTAAATGGAGCAAAAAATCATGACAGCTAAGACAAAACCAAGCAGGCTCAATTGCTCTCACAATCCAGCACTGCCTGGGTATAAAGTGGACTCCACTTAAGAGTTTAAACCACAGGGGCAACGTTTTATGAGTAATCTATGGTCCCTGGGGGTTTCGCCAGTGAGAAGTGGCATATGCCTTTTCAAATGCCAACAGGATTTGGGTTATTAGTTATTACACTGTTGAAAGCTGAAATCAACACTGTCACCTCTTTCAGTGACTTCCATTTATATCATAAACATCTGTGCATTACATGTACTCTCAATGGGATCTAAGCATGAGCCCCTATAATGGAACACTCTCTAAGAACATACATTCATGGCACAGATGTTCATTAGCTCCTACTGTGTGCCAAGCACTCTTCTGGGCACCAGGTCCACACAAGGAGCCAAACCAAACATAGTCCCTTGGCCTCCATATGATTCACACGGACACAGAAATAACCGGAAAATTGCAGCTGTGGCAGGCGTCGATGTATAGGTGTCAGTGATGCTATGAGAACACATGACCCAGGTTTGATCTGGTCGTGAGGGCTGCAGAAGACTTTGTGAAGTGTCGGCTGAGCTGTGATATGAGGGTAGAGGGGAGCAGAGAGGAAAGAGAGGAGGAAAGTCTTCTCAGGCAGAGCAAACAGGATATGCAAAGGCTCTACACACCCTGGAGGCAGCATGCCTCCAGCCAAAGGCAGCCCATTCGACCAGTGCAGGGAGATAAAAGGGAGCCAGCAGTGAAATGAGAGGGGAGAGGTTGGTAGAGGTCAGTCCATGCGGGGCCTCATCAGTCATGTAGGGCGGTATCGTCTTGATCCTAAAAGCTTTGAAAAGCCTTTAAAGGGCTTAAATCAGTGGAAGCTTAATGAGATATGAAGCCTTAACCTCTGTACAGTGTGGATATGAGTTGGAGGGAGTCAAAATGGATACAGTAGATCAGTTTGGAAACAGCGGCAGCGATCCAGACAAAAGCCAGTGAGTGAGGCGCGGTGTCGGGAAACGATGGTGCTGGTGGAGGCAGGGGACTGGGCGAGCCGGGGAGGGCCTTCATGCTCCAGGTGTGGAG